ATCTAAATTGACTGCCCTGGCTTCAAAAAACCAGTAAGCAAGCTAAAATGATGACACCATTCCGGCATAACTGCAGCTTAAGCGTGAGAAGTATGTGTGTTAGGAGTTACTCTGGGGTGCATCTTGCAGACAGAACTAACTCTGTGAGGCCCAAAGTCTTGGAAGGGCCTCAAGGAACTCTAAGACATTTAACCTGGAGAACCATACACTGAATCCAGTTTATTCAAAAACACGAACCACACATGTACTAAGTGAGTACATCAGAATTCTGCCGCATCTACGGAATGGACCACAGCTACTCCTGACCTGCCTTACAGTAAATATATTGATGCTAACCTTGCCATGATGCAGGTGCCCACAAAGTGTAACATTCCGAATCAGCTCTGAGTTGTCCATCAAGTCTGCTAGGAAACTAGAGAAGACCAAAGGGGCAGGGAAGCTTTCAGTTATACACGCTGCCAAGTAACGTAATGTTATTCTCATCTGAGTTACAACCCCCTCCCTGCCACAGAAACCAAAATCACCAGTATCCAGTAACTGGGCTACCTCAGCTTGTAGGGCAAGATTGTGCTTATCCTGTTTTAACTTCAATTTTCTAAGTAGCCTAGCTAGGCATTTTTTGCTATTCTGACATTCCTTATCAAACCAAGTCTGTCTCTTAAACTTTTTGTTTTTTATCACACTAGCTGTGGTCATCAGTGGGCGCATTTGGTTGATTATGTTCTCATAAAGTCCAATTACGTTTCCTGTTTCTAACAACATTTTCCCCTTTAATAAAGCAAATTCATGGGAATCCAGGATCTGAATCATTTTTTCTTGGACCTGTGCATTCCATTTTAACCTTCTATTTCCAAGTATCAGATATTCTGTTTCATCCAATAATTTAGGAAAGGCAGGAGAAAAGAATAATGTCAGAGATAACTCAAGTGGAAAGTGGTCACTTTCAGCTCTAGGAATTATCCTGAAGGTATCTCGGTTAACTGGCACATTATTAGATGTTAGGATATAATCTATGGTGCTAGTAAATCCTCTGGGGGAGGTAAAAGTAAAATAACCCTCTTGATCCCCTTGACCGTGCCCATTGCATAACAAAAGGTTATGCTTTATTATAAGTTCACAAAGATGTTTCCCAGCGCGATTAGAGGTGGTGTCCATTGCTGCCCTCTGACAGATTTCAGGTTCATCCTCCCAGTTTAGACCAGATAATATTGTATTTTGTGGGGAAACAAGGCCGATCCGGGCATTGAAGTCACCCCCCAAGATAATCCGAGGGTTAGGTGACAGAGAGTCAATACTTTCGAGTAGTTGGTCAAGTTTATCCCAATATGATCTCAGTTCCCCACAAGACTTTACTGGAGGTATATACACACATATGCAATAAGTATTTCTCAGGAGACTATCAGAAAGGGACAACACTAAAAAATTTGGGGTGGTCAGCAAGGGACACTGTTGAATTGATACATTAAGAGAGGTTGACACCAGCACCGCCAGCCCCCCACTAGGCCTTCCATACTTTACAGTTTTAAGAGCTGGTTGAGTGTAACTTGTAAAACCCTGTAATTCAACCATAGTGCCCTCTTTTGCCCAGGTTTCTTGAAGAAAGATGATATCATGTGTTTGTAGATAAGAACAGAAGTCACTGTCTTGGATCTTGTTCGTCCACCCTGTTACATTCCGATACATGGAAAAAGCTTTTCATAGTCTACTTTGATTTTTAGTTGATCGTTCAGTTCGCCCCCACCTTTTTAAAGTACTCTTAGTCACCTTCACGTCTCAAGCTTAATCCACAGCTTGTAGAGCTAACTTCACTAGTTTTATGAAGCAAAGAAGGGAAACAATTTTTTTTAAGAGATTGAACTAAGAGTCTCAACTGGTCTCAAATTTCAATTTCACCAGGCTCTGCCTTTCCAAACCCTTCTTCCACATCACTGGAAAACAGGGGAGGGGGAACCAACAGGACAACATGGTTTTTATCCTGAATTTTAGAAGCATTAAGATAAAGGGGCAAGGAACCTATGACCCTCCAGATGCTGTTGGACTTCAACTCTCATCAGCCCCTGCCACCAATGATCATAGATGATGGGAGTTGTAGTTCAATGACATCTGGAGGGCCTCAGGTTCCCAACCTTTGCAAGGGTAGTTGGAAGGCGTTTATATGTGATGGAGGGGGATTCTGTAAGTGGGTGAGTGGAGAAATAAGCACACACACCTGGTTAAGACTTTGTATTATTTGGACTGTAATGAGAATTAACTGAGAATCAGGCAGTAATACTTGTGAATGGAAGGTGGTGCAGAAATACACACACCACAGGAAGGCAGTTTTAACACGTTCTGACCCTAATGTTGGGAAAGATTGAGGGCACAAGGAGAAGGGGATGACAGAGGACGAGATGGTTGGACAGTGTTCTCGAAGCTACCAGCCTGAGTTTGACCAAACTGCGGGAGGCAGTGGAAGACAGGAGTGCCTGGCGTGCTCTGGTCCATGGGGTCACGAAGAGTCGGACACGACTAAACGACTAAACAACAACAACAACAATATGCCCCAAGGCCACAAAATAGAATTGGGAATAAATTTAGAGGAATAACATGATTGCTAACTCCTCTATTGCTTATCTGTAGGTGTGAGAGAGCTAGAAGTACCAACAGAAGGGAGTTGCACAGGGAGACAGAGGAACAGAGAACAAACAAGCTATACTCACTCCATCTCATACACTGTGACTGGCAATGTTTGCTCCATGAGGGAGAATTTCTTGGTCTTCACGGGTTTAATAATAGGCTCTGAGAACAAACACAAGAAATAATAACCCTTTAAAGAGAATTGCAGAAAAGCCCTACCTCAACACTCAGCCAAGCAGAAAAAAGGAGCAAAACACAAACTTTTTGCATGTCCCTGATCCCAGGTTCAGTTCCTGGTATCTGTGACTGAAGTCTCTGTTAAGGCTTGGAAAAATCTTGGAAAGTTACCTACAGTCATCGGATGCAAACAGTACTTGTCAGATGGAGCAATCCAATGGAAATAAAATTGTTTCTTGGCTGTACCATTTCAGATTGCAGATAGGTGCTCAACTGAATGACTGCTGATCCAGTATGCTATGTAGAAGACTCTTGCCTTCTCCCTGACAAGGTAGTTCTATAATTTCTCACCTGTCAAAGGCTGTGTGTCTTCCTCTTGCACAATGGTCTCCACCTCTGGACCGTAAACCTCCTCAGCCGTTGGATAGTATTTCTTATCCTCGTGCAGCACCACATCCATCCCAGGGTGGTCATCATCGTGGTCTCCAATGTCATCATCATCGTCGTCCTCATCAAGCTGAAAACAGAATGAAGGGCCTTCAGCTGGTCTCTAGCAATTTCCATCCAGTGCAGTCCCAATTACGGAACTTGGGGTTGGCTCCCATGTGCATGTTCGTCACTTGATGATGGCAACATCAAGCTTGCAAAAGTTCATACACTCAGGTCCTGCGTCATGAACACAATGCGTTCTCTGGAAATTGTTTGTTAGGTGAATATTCACATAAAGAATTAACAATTTCCATTGAATTCTATGGGGAAATTTCTAATGCATTCCCAACCACAAAATCTGTGGTGCATATAGGCAGGTTTGGGTACTAATCCGTTGTGTTGGGGTAAGTGAATTTTTGCACAGCAAGCATTTGTAAAATGGGACCTGCATGTGCAATTTATCTGTTGGACTTCAAAGTGTCATGGGACACCCAGTTGCCTTTGCAGTGACCGTGTAACATGGCTAGTTTCCTTGAATGAACATGACACCTTTTTTCCATGATCCTAAAAAATTAACTACTTAACCAAATGAATAACCCTAATATTTAATCATCCAACAGCCTTAACTAAAACCATCAGGTGGCCTTTAGTATAGTTAACATTTAGAGGAAGCATAATCCCCATACCTCATCTAGATCCTTTGAATCCCGACCCATCTCATCGTCATCGTCGTCAGAATCAAGCTCTGGGCCGATATAATTCCCAAATTCATCATACAGATCTGTATCCATGTTGCCGGACCCTGGAAAGAAAAGCCATTGAAACAAGTATAGCAAGGTCAGTTTTTATCCTGAGAGTGTTTTTTGATTGTTTTTGGTATTGCTGAATTTTGCTAGCTATTCAGTATGGATATAAGGAGTGTAGGAGTGTGTGTGTGTTTTCCTGCATACTGTGTTTTTGATAGCTTATTTTTATTGTGAACCTCGCCTGTAGCAACCTACACAGCTGTCCATCACAGTAGCACCTGGCCCTTATTTCCAGTTCATTTGTACCTTCTAGTTTACTCAAGTGCCCCTTCTTAGCCCATCGGGCTTCATAATAGACCCCAGACCTCAGTGGGGCTTCGGCCTCCCCCACCCCGCTTAAGGAAAGGCGTTTAAGACCACAGCCGAAGTTGTCGCCTTTTCTTCTTCTTCTTCTAAAAATCAAGTTTCTAGTCCCTAGAGGCCTGGGGAGAAACGCCTATATCGCACGCATGCCGAATATTACGCGCACCTGATCTGCCTTCCCTTCCTCCTCGGCGGCGCCTTTCTCAGCACAGAACGGAGCCCTCGCTGAGAGAAGAAGCGCGCGTTGCTCGCGACGTTCTTCTTTTTCCGTCGCGCGCCGCTGCGCCGCTGCCGTGGAAGGGCCCTCCGCCGCTTCCTCCGAAAGAGGCTGCCTATCCTATTGCCTAGCCGATTCGTCGCCTTCCCCCTTCATTTCAATAAAATAAAATAAAAAACCGGTGTTCGGGGAGGCACGTAAAGGCATTCTTCTGATTCTTATATAGACGTGGGAGGGCAGACAATGGAGATTATAATCAGGCGACTAGCGAAGATGACTCCTTTCTTCCGAGGGGCCTTCGCGTCCCGGCGTGGTCTGGTAGTTATAGAAACCAAACCTAGGCCTCGTTGCTATGGAAACCTGATGCCTAGCCGGTGCAGGGTGGGGAACGGGGAAAGCGGAGGGGGATTTGGAGACGACTTCCGCAGAGCCCTAAACCGGTGTAATAAATAACCTCAATTCCTCATTATCTGGGAGTGGTACCCAGGGTCGTTTTTCCACGTAGACCCGTGGAACTCCTAGGTGCAGGATGTGGCCCAGTCCTTGGAATGACGCATCAGAATTGAGGGATGAGATACCACCCCACCCCGAGCTAAAAGAGATACGGAAAATTCCCTGCACCTCAGGGCGCAGGGGCTTCCTCTGAGAATCCGATGCTTTGCCATATTGATATGCTTCTGCAGTGCTCTTTGCTGTAAAAATCAGATATTGCAAAGCTACTGTAACTGTTTAGTTCTCGCTCTCCGAAGGAAGCAAAAACCCTTTGGTGCATCTCCACTCCTGGAACCTTTGGCCGCTTGGGAAGTGGGAAGTGCACAGCAGTATTTGCCATAGCTGTCAACTTTTCCCTATTCTTGCAAGGAATCCTATTCAGAGTAAGGAAATTTCCCTTTAAATAAGGGAAACGTTGACAGCTATGATATTTGCAGACTAGCATTTAGTAGCATAGCTTAATTTCTCTGCACTTGGGTGTGCCCCCCCCATGCTTTGATTCCTACGAGATGTGTTTTTAGAGTTCTTCGGGAAAAGAGTTGTTTGTTTTTTAAATGTCCTGTTGTTTGTAGATAACCTGAGATGGCGGGTGCGATCGACTTCCGTGCTTTGGAGAAAGAGTTGGAAGAAGCTATTGCTGCTGATGAAAAGTACCAGAGAGAGAATGAAGCCAAGTTCCGAGCAGTGCACCAGAAAGTGGCGACTTATGAAGAATTCAGGTTTCTCAAATTCCATTGGTCCCTTTAGTTGATGTGATGCAAGAGGCGGTACAGCTATCCATTGCTTTTTTTTTCTTTGAAAAAATGTTTAAGGGTGCTCTCATTTTTACTCAAGAAAATCATCATTTTATAGTTCAAATTGGGGGAAATAAATACAGTAAATGGACAAAAGTACAAAGATTCACAAAATGTTTAGGGGTATACGCATACCCCTAAACATTTTGTGAATGCGTCCCCCCAGAAAAAAGCACTGCAGCTATCTGTTTATCCATGAGGTCAACTGCTTGTAAATTTAATCCAATGAAAATAATAATAATAATAATAATAATAATAATAATAATTAATAATTTATTTATATCCCGCCCTCCCCAGCCAAAGCTGGGCTCAGGGCGGCTAACAACAACATGCAGTCATGTGGCAGGCTGCTGCAGATTATACATACTGCAAAGGTCATGTGCATTCATTACTTATATGTGCCTTATCAAAGAAATACAACCAGTTCTCCCAACCTCACTATTGACTTCTGGATGTCTGAGATAAAGAAGGCTAATTGCATTTTTAAAAGATCTCTGAAAACACCCCCAAAGATAAAATGGGGCAGTGATGGGGCCTTATCCTATTACCTGCTTTCTGTTAGAATTCCTGCTCCATGATTGCAGTCATGGGATTGTTGTCTATCACATGACGGTATATGTTTTGACTCCACAGAGTGGGAAGTGACGAAGACAGGATGTTTGTGTTACTTTGTTTCGTAAAGTGGGACTATTGTCCTTTGTTCTTTTTCTCTTTGCTGTCTGATGCTAGAGAGAGACGGAGCCATGTTGCAGTGCTCATGTGTGTTTATATGCAAATAAAGTAGATTAGCCAAAATGCTGGACTGCTGAGGTCTGTTACGCATGGTGCGCAAACTCTGTAGATCCCTAAGTGTGCCGGTGCTGGTTGGCATCGGTCACTGTGATGTTCGGGCTGAAGAAAGCTTATGAACGATCAACCAGGAGGGAGGGAACATGCTAGTCAGGCATGTGTCTCTGCCAGGGTCCTACTCAAGTGTAGGCTGAACTCCTAACACTTTCCATGTTGCAGTGTGCCCCACAGTAAGCTACAGGCACCAAATATCGTTATATCAGTAGCAGCCAGTGGCCACTCAAAGTTTCAAATGTCCAGGGCCATACTGTGCTTAGGTAGGGTAAATGCAATAATAAATAACGTTCCTGTACTTTTAACAATTACGTATGTAGAGGAAATTTCAGCAGATACATGTCTTCTCATCCTTTCAACATTATACTAGCTGAGCTACAGCTGCTGAATTTCCCTCCAAATTGCAATAATGCCCCTTTCTCTCCTGCTTGCAGGGATATTGTTTTAGCATCACATTTAAAGCCTCTGGAGAAAAAGGACAAGGTGGGGAAGAAAAGAAATGTGTTGTGGAACTCCCACGCAGTTAAAGCAAACTTGAAACAAGAGAGTGAGGTACATCTGTCTCAGGTAAGATTGCTTCTTTCCAGGAGTTTGGAGATCCTTGTTTCCTTTTGAGCAATACTTCTCATTTTATTATCTACATTTATTTATTTGTGGCATAACAAAGCATAACAGCAGATGCCTAATAAAATAAAAGTAGAAAGGGATATTGAGAACTAAACATATAGGAACAATTTTCCTTACCAAAATAAATTAATATCACCATTAAGGCCAAACAGTTAAGGTCTTTCTCCAGTGGGATGGAGAGTGGGCCAGGATCCACTTGTGTTGGGATCTGTGACATTGTTCTTCTCCTCCAGGAGTTGGAACAGCTGCCCAAGACATCTGCAGAATTCTACAGATATTGGCACAGATGCATGAAAAACAGCCAAGAACGCTACCAGCTCCTGCTCCAACTTGGATCCCAAAACCTGGGCCAAATCTTCCAAACAGATCTTGCTTTTGGTTTCCTAGGTGAATTCCTAGCAGTGTTCAGTGAAAATATCTGCCTCAAAGACCGGCACTCTGTCTTGGAGATTTTGGAGAGTTTTTCAGGAACCAAACGCTTTGGATTGAATGTGGCACTCATGAGTGAGCCAGAGAAGAAAAGCTGTCGACAGTTGTTTGAGAAATTGCAAAGGATGGGGACTGACCCTAGCAATCCTCCTGACTTTTCACATGCCACAGAGGAGGAAGGTATGCCTGTTACCCAAGTCCATTGCCAAGTAGATGGACCAACTAAAATAAAATGGATGGAACTGATGCGCCTTTACAAAGTCACCTAAAGGAAGCTAGAGCTTGTGTCACAAGCCACACCACATAAGGAAATAATGGAGAAGATACAGGGGAAAGGAACGTCCACTAGGAACATCTTCTATCAATCCCCATTAAGGTGAGTGGGAGATTATCAAGAGCACACATGAATTCTTGTACACCTCCAGTTAATCTCAGTACAACTTGTATAGAATATATATTTGTTGAATGGTGGATGGACCTGTTTACTGATGGACCTGCACCTGTTTGCTGTGTTTTTAGGTGAGCTCTACCTTCTCCAACAAGGCAGGTAGTGCATTGTCAATAAATAATATTTGTTAATGGATCAATTTTTGCTGTGGTTTATTTCCTAATTCTCATGGCACTTGTGCTATTGACTTCTGCTCTAGTTAGGACTCAGCAGGGCTTAGCCCCAGAACGAGTTGGCCATGCCAAGGCTCTCATTCATGGGTAGCAATAACCTCAAGATACTTCCGTCCATCCAGGCTTAATATAAACTTGGTTGTATTAAGTATTGTGGGTGTTTGTATATAATCGGGGAGGAGTAATGGCCTGGTCCTCCAGTGCTTGGTTTACCTGTCCCAAGTTTAATCTTTGGTATCTTCTGTTAAAGTCATATCATGTTGCTGGGCTGAGAAATACCCTGCCTGACATGTTGGAGGGCTGTTGGCAATCTGAACAGACAATACTAAAAGCCAGTATAAGTCAGCTTCATACACACACACACACACACACACACACAGAATGGGATAACAGCTAGTTGTTCCTGCTGACCACTCTGGAGCTGAGACTGCATTCTAGAACTTGTGTGAGCAAAAATGGAAACGGTTCTGGAGTCTTCGTTCCTCCACACACTGTTTAGTATCCTACCTAGTTTGCCTACTTAAAAGAGCAATGAAGCAGAGTTGAACTTCAGAACTTGTAATCAACCAGTGCGGAAGCTGTTGACCAAAGTGTACCACCATCAAATGGCTTCAACGGGGTTGGCTGGAATTGCGATAGTCCTTGGCACTGCTGATGTTCTCCATGCCTTTGCCATTATAGAGAAGGAGGACGTGTTCAAGAAGACCCCTTGCCCAGCTTTTCTGATGTTTGAAAATGCTGCTTACTTGGCCGACATGAGCTTTGAGTTGCCTTGCAATTGCAAGCCCGAGGAGGTCACTTCTGTGGTTTGGTACTTTCAGAAGAACATGGGCAGACACCGGACTAAGGTCTTGACAGACTTTGATGGCACTTTGGTTGTGGACTCGAGCCACATCAAGAGAGGCGTTGACATGCTCCGCCGCTTCAGCATCAGGATGTTCAGCCTCATTGTCTTCCGCGTTCAGGTGGAAGATTCAGGGCACTACATTTGTGGCACCAAGAAAGGGGATTTCTTCTACGGCTACGATGTAGACGTGCAGACTTCCAAAAACATAGCTGTTGCCTTTGCAGATGAGGATCAGCACCCACAAAAGGACTTCAACAGAACACACTTCGTAGTCTTTACCGTCTTCTGGGAATGGACCAAGTGCAATCGCTGCGATGTCAGAGGTGAGCAACGGAGAGTTGGGCTTTGCTATGTGCAGAGCCCCCATCTGCTCAGGCGATACCGTACTACCATACCAGAGGTGGCTTCCTGCGGCTCCAAGTCTGTCCCAAAGCAGTTTCGGGGGGTTCCGAACAGGAAGCCCGAGGTCGTTATCCGAAGTTGCATGGCACCTTGCAGGAAAAAGATGTCCTCCATGGGAGAGGCATCCATCTCAGATGTCATCTCCAAGCTTGGGGAAAAACCCTGGGTTCCTGACATCCCTATCCAATTCCACAAGCAATCCCTTGGTACTGGGCTGATCATAGCCTGCCCTGGTGCCAGGCCAGAGCATGCTGTCGCTTGGGACAAAGACTCAACCCGGATGTACCTCACTAGGTTCCTTACCGGGGTCAACAAGAGCATGAGGGTCTTCATTGACCACGGAAACCATCTGCACATACGCTTTGCCCAGATGGATGACAGAGGCGTCTACTACTGCTGGCGAGAGGGACAACTGGTGGCTGGCTTTCGGCTCTCTGTTGTGTACGAGAGCCGCCACAAGAGAAGCATTGATGATCCTGAGACCCAATACGCCATCAAGGCCATCTTCACAAGCTATGTCTTCATCACCCTCCTCTTTGTCAGCATCCACATTGTCCGCTGCTGTGTTTACGCCTTCAGGTGCACATCTGTGGAATAGCACCTGCCAGGAAAACTGTTCAGGGGCTCATTTATTCACTTTTAAAATTTGTTGTTGTTAACCCATTTACCTGTTGATCTAGTAAATATTTAATTTATCAACTGTCTTGGGTCTTAACCAACTGAGCTTAACCAACGTATTTCAAAAGCTTTGAATAAGGGCCTTTTCGGAGGATTTTTTTTCTCCTATGTGGGGTAGCTTTCAAATTTGTTAAAACAAGCGTCATCTCATTCCTAGAAGGAATGGCAATCCTTTTAATGTTTTTCATCAACTATGGGGGATACAAAATGTCATCTGTTGCAATCTGTTGCCAGTTTGCAAACAAGCTCAAAACCCAGCTGGATTGTGGAAGTTCTAAATTTAGAAATGCTGAAATCAACAGAGCATTATCTCTCAATTTCAGTGGTTTGCCAGCAATTTTTACATATAGTTAGAAGAACTTTGAAAACCACAGTGACAAATCCTTCATGCTTTGCCTGCATCTGATCCAGGTTCCAATCTCCAGACCTTGGGATCTCCCCTTTTTAGAATAATTTCAGGTAGAAAGGCAGCCAACTAGTTTCCAGGATTCTTGTGTTGGGTGCTTTAAATGCAAAGTGTGTTTAAAGCTTTAATCTTCTTTGCTTCTAATCAGCTCTGCAGATTTATTGACATGGGCTCCTCCAGTGGCTGGTGTTGGAAATGGGTGGAAGGCATCTATTTTGATGTCTGCTGTGGTTGCACTCCGAGCAGGCTCAAAGGCTGCTTAACTCAGAATAGGTGATTTGAGGGCAGGGGACAGTGTATTGAGCCAGAGTTGCTACAAAGGCCCTGATAAAGGAAAAGGAAATGGGAAGAAGAAGAGGAGGAGAATGGTGCGTCCTCATCAGTGCTATTGGCAGACACTTTGGGACACAACAGAGTCAGCCTGAATTTGTCAGCCTTCTTTTGGAAGTTGTGTACAGTGGTGCCCCGCAAGACGAATGCCTCGCAAGACGGAAAACCCGCTAGACGAAAGGGTTTTCCGTTTTTGAGTTGCTTCGCAAGACGATTTTCCCTATGGGCTTGCTTCGCAAGACGAAAACGTCTTGCAAGTCTTGTGATTTTTTTCCGCTCTCCCCCTTTTTCTAAGCCGCTAATAGCCTTTTAGCAACTAAGCCGCTAAGCCTTTAATAACCGCTAAGCCGCTAAACCGCTAATAGCGCTAAGCCGCTAATAGGGTTGCTTCGCAAGACGAAAAAACCGCTAGACGAAGAGACTCACGGAGCGGATTCTTTTCGTCTTGCGAGGCACCACTGTATAATGTTTCCTATTTATGTGCACTTTTAGTATTGTTTCCACACTGCTCTTTCCAAAAGTCATGGGAACGTACTACAGAAAGGGCTTTTTCTGCTGTGATGTCCTAACCTGGAACATTCTCTGCAAGGAGGCTTCCCTGGCACACCAAACCTACATTAATGTAATTCCTGTTCCAGGCAAATATATTTGTATTTCCTCAGATCTTTTATTTTCCACTCATTTCCATTATGATTTTTTTTTAACTCAGCACATATGATTTTCTGCTGCACGTACGTGTGTGTGTGTGTGGTTATTTATATGTGTTTTTATGTAATGTAACTGTTTTTGTATATATGCACACATAGGTATTTGCTTTGTAAGGCATCCTGGAAATTCATTGAAGGGCAGGATATAAATACCCCCTATAAATGATGAAAAAAATTGGGAAAGAAGCTACATTATGAAACACTTTCAAAAGGAAGATTAAAATAAGTGGGAGTGCATTTTTCGTAAAAGAAAAAAAACTCACTGCTTCACATCATAATACTTTTAGTGATTGCAGAGGGTTTAAATACAGCATTAGAAATTGACCTGACATTTGGAAATATGCAAGTAATATTGAGAGGCTAACGTACATATATTCGACAGTACACAAAGAACAGCAGAAAAGTTGTAGATTGTTTAGGTGGTTACAAAAGGTGACAAATATCTGAGTTTAACATTTTTTGTATCTAACAATAACAGTCTCTGCGGTAGTGGTTTTAGTAGGGCTAGTTATCTGCTTTTATGGGCACACAGGTAAAGGTCAGGTTGTATCAAAAAGGTATTTTGGATAAACTGTTGAGCACATAATTTCCCTATGTTCTGTGTTCAAGTGCCAGTACAAGCCTATGCCTGTCCACTTCTAAGCAAGTCCCAGTGAGTTCAATACGACTTACTCAGAATGGAGTGCGCCAGCATTCAGGGCAGCTTTTTAAATGCTTGGAGACGATTACAACCATATTTATATTCTTTTTACTAGGCTAAACCTGTAGCAAGTTTTATCAAGCTTTGATCTTTACACTTGGTCTCCTAGATCAGTAATTATAGAGGCGACTTGCTCACCTGATCATTTGCAATATGTCACTATCTTTCCCAGATGCCCTGATTTCTTTCTTTCTTTCTTTCTTTCTTTCTTTCTTTCTTCTTTCTTTCTTTCTTTCCCTCCCTCCCTCCCTCCCTCCCTCCCTCCCTCCCTCCCTCCCTCCCTCTCTCTTCTTCTGCCACACCTCCGTCCTTCAGTATCATTCACATCAGTCTTCAAAATTTTCCATGGCACGGCATCCCTCTATATGTTATTGAGACACTATTTTCTGCAGATTGCTTAAATGGCTAGTAGCCCTCACAATAATACACCGGCCTCACCCATTTACTTGGGTCAAGGGGTGTGGGGGTGTAGAGACCAGCTGCTTGCTCACAAGGAGCTCAACTAGCAGGGGTGAGTGAACCTGACATTTTTTGTGTCTCTTCATTTCTCATTTTTCCAGTTCCCCACAGTTCCACATCTGTTTGTGATAATAATAATAGTAATAATTAATAATTAATAATAATGTGATTATAATCATCATTATCATCAGGGTTTTAGTGCATAGTCTTCCTAATGTACACATTTTTGCAAAGCATTTCCCCCTAATGTGCATTTTTGCACGATCTTTTCACTTACCTATGCCCTTTTACACACTTTTCACCCCGGTATGTGCATATCTGTACACATTATTCGGCTGGGGAATGGGAAAGGATGGCTATGTTTCCGTTTGCAAAGTGTTCTGAAAAGTGTGGTTTTGGCAAGTTCCCCTTTATATCATATCTGAATCCCATTTCCCCTCTATTACTTGGCTAGTAATTGGCCTGGATGCATTGCTGGTGGGTAACCTAAAGTTGACAAGAGGCTGCGAAATTCCAGACTCTTCCTGATGGCTTATAAACCTCAGAGGGAGTTATGGAAAGAAGGCAGAGGGGAAACCCCCAAAAGGCAGAGGCTGCCTCTTGAAGGAAGAAGATAAAGGAAGTGTGTATTTGTTGACTAGGTTCTTAAGGCTTTCCTAGTCTGACAGGAGGACAGAAAAGGAGGCAGTTGCCCTAAGTTCTGAGGGGTCTGGGACTGTGAGAAGCTCCAACACATGTACTTGGCTATATGTAAAACACAGGTTGCATCGATTTAGAAGGTGCCCAAAGGCTACTGTAGGGGTTTAGCATTGAACTAGTACTGGAGAGACCCAAATTCAAATCCCACTTGGCCAGGAAGCACACCTTGGGCCACCAACCTTGCCGCAGATTAGACCATGAGAAGAGATTGTGGTGGAGGCCCACGGGTGGGGTGGAAACTGCAGTCACTAGCCAACTTTGACTAGTATTCCTTTTCAACTCCAAATCTAGCAGGGGGGAAAACTTCATACATGAAGAAAACTCATTCAATGCAGGAACAAACTAGCTGACAGGGACAGCTTTAAGGTTTTAAATAGCTGTCATATGGGAAGAACGGCAAAGACCCCTCTCCTGATGTGGTCCTGATAACTCCCCACTCTATCCCACAGTGTTTTTTAGCACTGGGAGGGAAGCTCTCAATTTCCCCCTCAGCAAGACATCTTTAACAGCTTTGCGTCACAGCTAAACATTCAGAAGAGACTGTTTTCACTATCTGGGGATAATTTGCAAGATGAATTGCTATCTTGTCACATGCCTTTCTGTTATGTACTGAGTTGAATAGGATCCAAAATGCAGCAATCTGATTGGTCCCAGAACAATAGGCTCCAGAATACAGCAGTCTGATTGGTCCACAGGAGCCACCCAATCCAGCTCCAGGTGGAAGTGAATCTGCAACCTGATTGGCCTACAGGAGAATCCCGGAATTAGCCAATCACATGGGGCCCATTGTGTAAATAATGTATATAAAGCAGACATTCTGGGGGAACTTCCATTCCTCCTCACCACTATGAGCTGAATAAAGAGCATGAAATCCACTCTCGACTCCGAGTATATTTCAGTTTCTTAAGGACATGTGTTATACTTCTGGGGGAGACAAGCTAACTTCCTACCATTGTTCCCCTCGAAATACCTCCCTCTAGGCCTCTCTCACACACACACCTCTCCCAGCACCAACAGTAAACACGGATCCTATTCATTAGTAGGTTTATTGAGAAGCAGCAGGTTTTGCTGTTAAGCCCAAGGCGGATAACATCTAGGAGAGCTACAGCCCAGTCTAAACACGGTGCCTCATTCGGACACAGTGAGGGAAGCATACAAGATGCGAGAAAGCGGGTGGGCCCCAAGCCCCACCTGAAGCACCAGGCAACTGAGGCCCAAGAGGCAGCAGCCGGGTATACTTTCCCAGCAATAGTTAAATTTGCAAATGTTTCCCACCCCTCGTAGCAGCGGCATATTCGGCGTGCGGAGCTGTTTTGGGGCCGTAGCCCTGAAGCGTCAGAAAGGGAGGCAAGCTTCTCCTAGCGTCCTACAGCTACAGGCGTCTCCTCCCTCCCTTCGCTAGCGTGGCTTTTACTTTGTGGCCGCTGGCTTCACACCACTTCCTTGTGCTCCTGGGTTGACTCCTTGATCACCTGCAGGCAGAGTGGGGAGAAGAATGGAGGGAAGTTATTCGCCCTGCTTGGGTCGCAACCTAGCTTTCAGCGGCCACAAAACAGCTCCTATTCATTTGTGTGCTTCCTTCTAAATGCTTCAGGTTCCCATTGCTTACTCCCACCTGCCCCCTAAAAATCAAAATCAAAGCAGGGTCTATGGCAGCACAGAACTAGTAACTTGATGGTTGATGCACAAGAATATTGCCAATGCTGGTGACATTTAATTGAAAATTTAAGCACAGCCCCTCCAAGTGTCCCTATTTTCCAGGTACAGCCCTGGCTTGATAGCTGTCCCAGTTTCTGATTTGATCCTGGAATGTCCCACTTTTCCTTAGGACATCCCTATTTGCATTGGTGAAATGTTGGAAGTTATGGAGTTATGCGACCCACCGAACCAAGGAGCTAAGTACCGTATTTTTCACTCTATAGGGCGCACTGGACCATAGGGCGCACCTAGTTTTTTTGGGGGGAAATAAAGAATTATTATTTTTTTATTCCATCCATCCCGCTGGCTGTCTTGGCTTCCTCTTTAGCCACGCACAACCTCTCCAGCCGGGAGAGGCTGCGCGCAGCTTTGTTTTTAGCTGCGGGGCTGGGGCGGGGGAAGCCCGAGCTTCCCCCGACCCCAGCCCCCAGAACAGGTCTGGGAGCAGCAGTAAGCGCTGCGGATAGCTGCCCGAAGCCCGGGGAGCGCAGCGCTGTGCTCCCCGGGCTTCGGGCTGCAGGCTGCTATCCGCAAGCCTTCGGAGCCCGGCGGGAACTCCCACCAGGCTCCAAAGGCTTGCGAATAGCTTCCTGAAGCCTGGAGAGCGAGAGGGGTCGGTGCGGACCGACCCCTCTCGCTCTCCAGGCTTCAGCGAAAGCCTGCATTCGCTCCATAGGACGCACACACATTTCCCCTTCATTTTTGGAGGGGAAAAAGTGTGTCCTATATAGAGCGAAAAATATGGTAACTCTACAACATTTAGAAAACACCTGAAGACAACCCTGTATGGGAAGTGTTTTTTTAAAAAATGTTTAATGTTTTATTATGTTTTTATGTATGTTGGAAGCTGCCCAGAGTGGCTGAGACAACCCAGTCAGATGGGCGGGGTATTAATAATAATAGTAATAATATTAAATAGAACATCCCTATTTTCATCGGATAAATGTTGGAGGATATGTAAAGCAAGCTTTCTTTTTTATGGTTTACCTATATATATTTAACCCTAAAAGGTCATGGTTTGTTTTGCTGGATGGAAGTAAACCAGCAGGGCAGATCTGGAAAATGTACCAGCGGAGGAGAGGAGATTTAAGCCCCCATCCTGGCGGGAGAAGAAAGAAGGAAACAATGAGGGCCTAGCTCAAATTTCAGGCATGTACATGCCTTTGCAGCAGTTCAGCTATTTAACTGCATAGTAAGGAGCAAAAGGGCTGGTGTAGCTATCAGCCACAAGAGACAAAGCAACGAAACAGGAAGTCTCCACTTTGAATCTGCCACGAACCTGTGTTAGCCAAGCCACTTGCTCTCAGCCTCTCATCCACATTATGGGGATAATAGTACAGTGGTACCCTGGTTTAAGAACAGCTTAGTTTATGAACAACTTGGATTAAGAACGCTGCAAACCCAGAAGTAGGTGTTTTGGTTTGTGAACTTTGCCTTGGAAGCAGAACATGTTGAGTGCCTTCCATTTGTAAATTGAGTCCCCCGCTGCTATGGGAAAGCACGCCTTGGTTTAAGAACGCTTTGGTTTAAGAACAGACTTCCGGAACGGGTTAAGTTTGTAAACCAAGGTACCACTGTACTGGCTTTCCTTTATAAGGCCACTGTGAGAATTATAACAAGATGCTATATTTTATTTATTAAATTTGTACCACTCCCCATACTCATAGATCTCAGGGCGGTTCACAACGAAACAATATGTGAAGCGCTTTAGAACTAGGTAAATATTCAGGATTATCCCAAATAACTATTTACACCTCATCACACACATGTCTTCTGTGCACAGTGGGAAGCTATGGACTACTGCAATGCGCTCTACGTGGGGCAACCTTCGAAGGTGACCCGGAAACTACAACTAATCCAGAATGCAGCAGCTAGACTGGTGACTGGGAGTGGCTGCCGAGACCACATAACACCACATAAGACCAAAGACCTACACTGGCTCCCAGTACGTTTCTGAGCACAATCCAAAGTGTTGGTGCTGACCTTTAAAGCCCTAAATGGCCTCAGCCCAGTATACCTGAAGGAGCGTCTCCACCCCCATCATTCAGCCCAGACACTGAGGTCCTCCTCTGAGGGCCTTCTGGCAGTTCCCTCACTGCGAGAAGTGAAGTTGCAGGGAACCAGGCAGAGGGCCTTCTCGGTGGTGGCGCCTGCCCTGTGAAACGCCCTCCCATCAGATGTCATGGAAATAAACAACTATTTGACTTTTAGAAGACATCTGAAGGCAGCCCTTTTTAGGGAAGTTTTTAATGTTTGGTGTTTTATTGCTTTATTATTATTATTATTATTATTATTATTATTATTATTATGTTGGGAGCTGCCCAGAGTGGCTGGGGAAACCCAGCCAGAGGGGTATAAATAAATAAATTATTATTATTATTATTATTATTATTATTACTACTACAGGGAAGGAAGAGGAGATGAGGCACACTCAGGAACAAGCCAACCCTTTCATATTATTGCATAATGGCATTACATAAGGACTTGGTGGAACAATCGCTTTCTACCTAGGAGGCAATAGTGGAAGAGGAATACCCAATAGCAGCTTGCCCCAGTTAGGGATTGGGGAGACATTTGATTCAATTTGCACTTAGAAACAAACTTACCCAATTTGTGATTTTTCAAAAAACACACACACAAAAAACAACATATCAAAATGGGGGGGGGGGGAACAAACTATCTGAATTTTGCAACACCATTCTCCAGCCAAGTAACACAGGCAAAAATAATGTAAGAGTAAAGTGTGTGTACAGATGCATATGTGAATGAAAATAATATACCAAATTGCATTATATTAGGGAGAATAAAAAGGTAAAGGGTAAAGGGACCCCTGACCATTAGGTCCAGTTGTGGCCGACTGTGTTTGCGGCGCTCATCTCGCTTTATTGGCCGAAGGAGCCAGCGTACAGCTTCCGGGTCATGTGGCCAGCATTACTAAGCCACTTCTGGCGAACCAGAGCAGTGCATGGAAATGCCATTTACCTTCCTGCTGGAGCAGTACCTATTTATCTACTTGCACTTCGTGCTTTCGAACTGCTAGGTTGGCAGGAGCAGGGACCGAGCAACGGGAGCTCACCCTGTCGCGGGGATTCGAACTGCCAACCTTCTGATCAGCAAGTCCTAGGCTCTGTGGTTTAACCCACAGTGCCACCCGCGTCCCAATTAGGGAGAATAGCTGTGCAAAAAGGGAGGTATTGGGGGGGAATGTCCTATTAGTGTCTAAAAAGGTGTACCTTATGAGAAATTTGCAGCAAAATGCTGATGAATTTTCATGGAGTGGTGTCTGTGGGCAGGAAGGAATGCCAGTCATGTGGGGCAGGGGAGGGGGGAGGTAAAGGTTATCCGTTCCAATTGGTTGCATCAGACAGTGAGTTGAGAGAACCAGGCCTCCTCCATTGGCTCAGCTGAGACCAGCTGCCACTTGTCTCCTCACCTCCTAGAACTACCTCCATTGTTGGTCAATTCCATTTGACTGCAGTGGAGGGAGAGGTGAGGCCCTCTCCATTGGGCTTAGCCGGGAACCAGTGGCGTAGCGTGGGGGGTGCAGGGGGGGCTGGCCGCACCGGGCGCAACATCTGGGGGGGGGCGCTCGCACTCGAGTGCTAAAATCCACGGGTTAGGGGGCGCAAATTACTTGCCTTGCCCCGGGTGCTGACAACCCACGCTACGCCACTGCCGGGAACCGGAGACAGATGAACCTATTGATTCTGGTTTCTCTCCATTTCTCATTTCCCCCAATATTAAACTCACTCCTCCAAATTTCCACATCCACTCCACCTACCGATCCCCTCAGGGACTCCAGGTCACAGGTGAGGGACTGCAGCTGCCGGCGGTACTCGTTGGCTTCTTGCTTGGCGAGACGCAGGGCCTCAATGTTTCGTGCCGCTGCATCGGTCAGGTCTGCAAACTAACCAGGCGGAAGTCAGGTTAACGTTCTGTTTCGTGGCTCAAGGAACACATTCACTCGCATTGGGCACTCACACCAGCACACAACCCTCTCTCTCCACAGCTGATCTGGGCAGATCAGCTATGGGGGTGGGCGGGCTGTTATTGCCCCCCTCTCTGCTCATCCATGACCAGGGAAGAGGGCAGTTTGTGTCCACATAAGTGTGCTATTCCCACCCCTGTACTGTATCCAGGGCTTTTTTCCCCAGCCAGAATTGTTGGAACTCAGGGGTGGAGGAAGGGGTGTGAGGTGGGTGTGGGCCACCCCAGGTGTAACCACTGAGGGGGGTGATAAAATGCTGGGCGGCACTCACTCAGGGCCTGCAGTTCGCCCGAGCCACACGTCTCTCCTGGGAGCGACGCGGTGGTTTGGGTGCCTGCAGGCTCTGTGCTGCCCCAGACGGTCCGCCCGCCGCCTCGCCCTCAGCAGTAGGGTGGCTGTGTGGCAGGAGGCAGGCAAACTTCTTGGAGGCCCCATGGAGCGTCCTGCCCTGGCTTGCCCTGCCTGACAGGCGGCTGGCCCCGCCCCCAAGGATGGCTGGCCCCACCCCTGGGCGCAGGGCACACGCTGCCCTGGGAGCCCAATCGGATTGCTCCGCCGCTGAACTCAGTTCCAGCACCTCTCAGGTGGGCACCATTGCCATCCTAAGAGAACAAGGGAGGTGTTTATGCTCGGTTCTGCCACCTATTTTTTTTAGAAAAATAGTACTGACTACAGTGGTACCTCAGGTTACATACGCTTCAGGTTACATATGCTTCAGGCTACAGACTCCGCTAACCCAGAAATCATGCTTCAGGTTAAGAACAGAATGCTTCAGGATGAGAACAGAAATCGTGCTCCGGTGGCGCAGCGGCAGCAGGAGGCCCCATTAGCTAGTGTGGTGCTTCAGGTTAAGAACAGTTTCAGGTTAAGTACGGGCCTCCGGAACGAATTAAGTACTTAACCTGAGGTACCACTGTACATCTAAATTACTGCTTCTGACTAATAGCCCAACTTTACAAATGTGTTTGTTGATACTGACTGTTATCTACTTTAATGCCCCCCCTCCCGCTTTGCTGTTGCTGCCAAGATCAGTAAGATCTTGAGGGGAAGGGTGTTTTTTTGTTTGTTTTTTTTTGAGAGGGGCTGGATTAGGCCCCCAAGCTGGGGTTTATCAACCCCTGGTTGAAAAGGTTGTGTCGCCAGAGCTTATACCTGATCACCACTGTGACCTTCAAACCCTTCACCTCCCTTCCTCACAGGGCAGTTGTGCTCGAATTTTCAGGCGATAAGGAAGTCTATGGTTTCTCCACCAAATGGAAGCACCCAAAGGGAACTAAAAGCAGGAAGTATCTCAGAGAAAAGGCACCTGTTATCACAGGTGTTTGGAGCAACCATTGCTGGTACGGGCAAGAAATGTCATTAAATTTAAAAAATGCACATGATTTATACTGAATAGTGAAGAAAAAGACTCATGCATCCTGTGCTTCCAGCTCTGAAAGCTGTCACTAGCCATGCATGCAATCAGAAGTCTCATCTGCAACATCCCTCCCATCTCTTACTGTCACCTTCCAAAGCATCTCAATGGTGCAAGGCCCTGTTCGTCTAGAATGGGCAATCTGAGTGGCAGCCCCATTCAGCTGGAATGCTAGTCAAAGCTGTGCTGGACTGGGAATCCTCCGTCCTTCACTTTCCCTTGGGCTGGCCTCCACCCTGGTCCCATACCTTAGACTTGTACCATTCCTCAGTCTCATGCATGTTGTTTGAGGCCATGGACTCGTACTGGATGCGGATCTCGCGCAAGGCAGATGTCAAGTCCGGCTTGGCCATGTCCATCTCGATGTGGACCTGTTGCTGCTGCAGCTGCTCCTGCAGCTCCCGAAGCTCCTGAGAAGGGGACAGAAGAGTCATGAATCCAGAAACCTCATACACAGGGCAGTGTTTCCCCAAAAACTGGACCAATTAAGACTTTGGGGAACAGATCAGGGCAAATTCACAAATGTAGGACTTATCCACACTTACATTTCCTCTGTGATTTCCAGGCATGGTCGGAGCTCCATGTCCAAGTGCCCTTTTCCTTGAACCAGAGATTTGCCTGCGAAAAACTGCTCTTTAAAGCTGAATCCGAGCAAATGGTAATCTGCAGAAACCCTGAATAGGCATTTGCTTCAATTCAGCTTTAAAGAGTGGGTTTTTGTGGGGAAAGCTCTGGAGGTGATGTGTTTCTTCTCTTCCTTTCCTCACTCTCTTCTTCAGGATGCAAGTCATGGAGACAGGATGTGCCTTATGATAGCTCCCAGCTTCAGACATGTGTCTGAAGCTACTTTTCTGTATATCTACTCAAGAATATGTTGTCTGTGTTATCTATTATTGCTGCATAAGACAATGCATGACTGAGACCTAGAAACTGTAAGTAAAGCAATTTTAAACTTACTTATCAGTGTGTGGTCTATTCATTGCCAAGGGGGGTAGAAGGAAGTCAGCTGCTAAACTCTTTGGATACCACTGGGCACCATTTTGAAACAAAATGGCAGACTCAGTCTTTCATGACTGGAGTGATCCCTTCGGACAAGCTTAATAACTTTGGCACAATGGTTCCTGAGATCAGGGAACAGGATTTTGTCTATGTTAGAATACTGTTGGATGCCATTTTGAATAATCAAGATGGTGGAGTGAGCCTTTGAAGGATGCACTGATGGTCATCGAGGGTTCTGCTGGCTTCTTAGAGTCCTAAGCAGTGCCGGACACTCCCTGCTCATTGTTTAGATGCAGTGGACATATTTTTGCTTCCGTTGTGTGTGCCGTATTAGGAAACCTGGACACCTTTAGGAATACATGGGAAATATAACATCTCCAGGATCAAAGGTCTAGGTTTGTTTGCTTGCTTGGTGTTAAAATTTGCAAGCTGCATTTCAACCCGAATGGCCCATACAGTCCTGTTAACATACATTGAAATTGAGAAACACTATTAAAAACGAGCCTCAGAAAAATGCAGTTAAGAACTCAGAGCCTCTGAGCCAGATGAAGAGTCGGTTGGCTTTCCCACCAATGGGACCGAAGAACCAGTTTTCAGTATGTCTCTCTCCCTCTGGCAGGTTGGGGTTTTTTTTGGCAGGCATTAAAGGGAAAACAGAGCACAAGTCACGCTGTGGATCTGGGCCTTCAATCCGGCCTGTTACCCCAACTGCCTTTCAAGATGGAGGAGCTTCAGCTTGGCGGCCCTGTACTCCATACCTCCTCGTGGATCTTCTTTAGGAAGTTGATCTCCTCTTGAAGTGATTCAATTTTACGTTCCAGGTCTATCCGGGCCAACGCAGCATCATCAACATCCTAAGAAATGAGAGGGGAGAATGAGGGACATTTTATCTGTTTTGGACCTTAATGGGGAGGAAAACGGGACCTCTTGCATGCTCTCTCTCTCTCTCTCTTAAAAATGAAGTAAAAGAGGGTTGCCCTGGCATGTGCTACAGATGGCCCAACTACAGCCCTTCCATAAGACACATACATGCATGCACATGATGTAGCAAGGAGGAAACTTCTTCAGATCAGTTACAAGCTACAAGGCCATCTTGCATTCTCTGCCCATAGTTCCAGGATGGTATTCGTCATTTTTTCCACCTCACCTGTCGGTAGGAAGACAAATTGTTCTCAGCTTCAAGGCGCTGATTAATCTCGTCCTGTAACCTTAAATGAGAGAGAGAGAGAGATGGGAAAATCAGGAAGCTATGCTGAATTATCGGTTCCCTTCTGCAAGGGGCTGAAACCAAGGGAAAAAAATATGTCAAGGTCAAAGCCTCCACAAGGCCCTCAGACCTTTTCTAATTCTGCGCCATTTATTTGCAAGTTTTCAAACCCGTCAGGCTTTGCAGGCAGTTAATACAACAAAATAACAATGACAAAAGCAGCGATAATATTAGCATAAGAACAGAGTCCTGCAGGATCAGATTAAAGGGCCAACATTCTGTTCTCATGGGGGCCAACAGCACTTGGGGAGCCAACCAGCAGGAGTGCAACAGCACTCTCCTGTCAGGCTTGAGGAATTCTCTCCCTCCTCCCGGATGGTTTCAAGAAGCAGGGAGGAAACAAGAAAGCTCTTGCTTATAATTTATTCAGTGATCACGGTAGAAGACAAAGAATCCAGTCATTCTTCCATGATGGAGTTGTTCACTCTGAGCCCCTCCAACTTCCCTCTCTAGCAACAGCATCTGGCCCTACGGTGGCCCCCGGGTGGTCAAATGTTTCTGCGCCCGTTGCTCTTGCACTCTTAACGAACGCCGCGTTGTAAGGGACGGTGGATCATCTATGCTGTCTAATGACATGCAGGGCCATCTTAAGCATATCCGGCGCCGTGGTGCAAAGATCCCTCTGGCGCCCCCGCCCAGCGTTGCCAACCTTTTTTAGGGAGGATGGCGCTGCCAGCGACGCACCCAGCTTTGTGGGGCTGGAGGAGGCGGGCAGCGGCTGGAGGGCAGCTCCTCCGGCGGGGAAGAGGCAGAGGCTGGACGCGGCGGCTCCCGGCTCAGCTGGCTGCTTCGTGCCGTTGTGGCCATGGCAGGTGGAGGCTCCGGGCGTGACGCTGCTTCGGCGTGGCATGGTGGAGGCGGGCGAGGGCGGCGAGCTGATGCCAGGAGTCGCCACGTCCAGCCTCCGCCTCTCCCATGGCACCCTCCAGAACTTGGCACCCCGGCGCCCCTAGCCTCTATGGGTATGACAGCTCTGATGACGTGTCAACTGCCCCCTCCTTCTCCTAACAGTTCATAACTCTGCTGTTCACCTGTCTCTGAGCTGTTATCTCCCTCATAGTTCTTCTGTAATTCAATACTGCCTCTCTCTTCTCTGGCAGCTACAGGAAAAGGGGGTGGATGATCTCCACCATTCCTCCTCCTCTTCAGTCCAGTCCCTGACATCTCCCCATTTCCGATTCCCAGAAACTGGTATTCAGAGGCACATACTGTCTCTGACAGCGGTGGCAAAGCGTAGCCATCGCTAGTAACTTGCTAAATTCAGATTCTCTCACATTGGTAACTGTTTGTCTCAGGGAGGTCTTCTAAAGCAGATGTTGGCAGTGCTTTTCTTCAGAGGGAAAAGGTGACAGTACTTACCATGAAACATAGATGCCAATTCCTTGGGGCATTGGGTGCCTGAGCACACACAAAATTCCCCATGAAGGGACTGGGCACCCACAAATTTCAGTGCCAGGGCCATGCACGCTGCATGGCACCCACGGTCGCAGAGCCAAGCTGGCAACCTTGCCATGAAGTTGCTACAGTAAGTGCCACACATTTAACCAGTGCTTCTCTGCTAGAAAAGAGAGGTGCCAGTATTGGGTAACTTTGAGTACCTCCAGAAAAAAGGCACTGGGTGTGGGAACCCCTCCCAATGTTGCTGAGGTTCAACCCCCATCAGCCCCAGCAAACATGGCCAGGAATGATGTAGTTCAGCAACTTCTGGAGGTCTCTACACTTGCTCTAAAGAATAAGAGATTAGGAAGGACTCTCCTGGGCTGCAGTTTTAAGGGGAGGTTGCACAGGCATCAGTCAGGGATGCTGTGTTGTCAATCATCCACTAAGCAGGGGATTGGACTAGTAGGTGATCTCTTCCAGTTCTATGACTCTGGTCTATCCAATCCCATGGCCAACAGCTGTTGGGATGAACCACCCTCCCAGGACCAGATGCTAGCACAAAACATTACGCTGTTAGAGGCACCTGGCACTGTTGCTGCCCCCACTTCCTCCACTGTGGAGGCTGCTCCGTTATGGCAAATGGGGCACTGCCCCATCAACCTCCATCCTGATTCCTGGAAGACCACCTGCCTTTGTGTTTACATCCAATCCAGAGGGTGGCTCTGGATATCTGATTCCTCCTCCTCTGTCTCAGTTTTGCCCTTGAAGAACTCAGCAGGTAAGAGGATGGGGACAAAACTTGGATGTCATTGGCTCTCTAGCACCACCTACTGTTGGGCTCCCTGCCTTACACCCTACCAGCCTCAACAGGGCTCCAGCCAGCACTGCTCCTCTGAGGTCATTAAAAAAATTATTTGTGTTTGTGGTCATTTTTGCTGTTACATTAGCAGTGGCATTCCAGGCGTTCCAGACCCTCTGTGGTATGGTTACCAGACATCCCCGTTTCCCAGGGACAGTTCCCAAATTAACAAATCTGTCCCCGGACAAAACCCGTCCCCGGATTTCATTTAATGTCCCCAGATTTATATTTTAAGTGTTGTAGATTTATTAGTAGGGAATGAATGTTGCGTGATAGGTTCAACGGCACAAGATAAGTCATATGGGGACTTCCAGTGAGGCAAAATGGCGGACACCACGGCAGCGAGCAGCTCCTGAAGCCAGCCAGAGCCAACAGCGCTACCAGGCTGGCACTGGGCTGCTAAGACTGCTGCTGCCACTGCTGAGGGGGAACTGGGGACGCCTGGCACGTCAACTGGGGGAACCGCTGACCCCCTCCCATGACCCAAATCAAGCCAGGAGCGAGAGCACCCAGTCACCCAGCTGACTGCCCAGAGGCGCTCTGGGGCCAGGAAAGCCCCGGAGCCGACGCAGGGAGAAGGAGGAGAGGAGAAGGAGAAGGAATAGAGAGAAAGGAAGGAGAAAAAAGAGGGGAGCCCCAACCTTGCCGCGCCACTGCTGGTGCCACCACTGAGGAGGAGAGGTAGGAGAGCACCGGGAGGGCAAGGACATGTGGCCGAGCCCAGGCCTGACCTGAGCCTACTCCATGGTGGCTAGTGCTCAAAGAGAGCAGGCTGGGGCCCAGAGGAAGGCTGTGCGACAAAGGAGACCACAGAAGACAAGATATTACTACTTTTTTTAATAACTTTTTTTTTCTCTTTTCAAAAAAAAAAAAAAAAAAGGAAAAGTGTCCCCGGATTCTTTGAAAAAAATCTGGTAACCTTACTCTGTGGCTATCTTTCCTTACAATATCTCATGGAGGAAGCATGGGGGTGGAGTTGATCTGCCAAAACCCTGGAAAGGGGGCAGTGGCAAATACTGTTTAGCGCTTCACACAACTTACTACTGGCATGGCAGAGATTACTTTAGGAGTGCTCCTAGAGGCTATGCCACACAACCTGGTACTGGCTTATGGTAATTTGCAGTGGACTGGCAGGTAGTTAGAGGCTGCCTCTCCTGGTCTGCTGCCTGAGGCAAGGGATTTGCCTTACCTAAAGGGCTAGCCCTGGAAGCGAACCTAGTCCGCAATCAAAGAGCTGGCAGATCATTAACAAATGCCCATAAAAGAAATAACAATAGTTTTTCAGTTTTCAGGCTTCCTGCCTTTACGGAAACTTTCCATGTTCACATGGGATACTGGCCAGACCTCTTGGGCCCAAGGGAACCAACTTGAATCAAATATTGGGGGCCCCAGGTAAGCCCCACCCCGCACAATCAATCACAAGATGCAGAGCACACACACCAATTGAATGGCAATGCCCATCAACTTTGGGAAGGCCCTGCCACCCCAAATATTTTACTGGGGGAAGACGAAGGGACCTTGGCACCTAGGCGTTGGCTCCTATGCTTGGGCCTCATTATATTTTTCTGTTAATAGAGAATGTGCTACAAGATTATATGCCACTCCCCTGAAGCTCTGGCTTGGAAGGGAAGACTGCAAGCTGTCACCAAGCAAAGCTCATCTCCCATGACCGGTCTTTTCATGGAAAACTAATAATCATCTGAGGAACCCCAGGGAACCCCAGATGCACAATCTGACACTCCCTGCTCCAGATGGGTCAAGCAACCAAGCCTAGCCACGTGCCACAAAGGAAGTCCAGTGTACCCCTCCCAACACTCATTTGCCAATATGACCTGCTGGAAAAAAATCCCATTCCAAAGCCAAACAAGGCAGTCAGTAAGACCTTGAGTGTGCAAAGCCCACTCACAAAGGACCCATCCACACCATGCGTTTAAAGGACATGCCATCCCCCCAAGAATCCTGGGAATTCGTAAAGTGTTCTGGGAACTGTAGCTCCGTGAGGGATAAATTCCCTGTTCCCACGTCTTTAAAATGCATGACGTGGATGTCCCTCAGATATCTCCTCCAAATCCTCAATTCCCCAAGCCTCTGTATATTGCTTCCTTGCCTCATTCCCTATTTGCAGGTGCCTCCCCACCCAGCCCTGGCGCTGTGGGTTAAACCACGGAGCCTAGGACTTGCTGATCAGAAGGTCGGCAGTTCAAATCCCCGTGACGGGGTGAGCTCCCGTTGCTCGGTCCCTGCTCCTGCCAACCTAGCAGTTCGAAAGCACGTCAAAGTGCAAGTAGATAAATAGGTACCGTTAGGGCGGGAAGGTAAATGACGTGTCCATGCGCTGCTCTGGTTCACCAGAAGCGGCTTAGTCATGCTGGCCACATGACCCGGAAGCTGTACACCGGCTCCCTCGGCCAGTAAAGCGAGATGAGCGCCGCAACCCCAGAGTTGGTCACGACTGGACCTAATGGTCAGGGGTCCCTTTACCTTTTACCCCACCCAGCCCTGTCAAAACTTGAAAAGAGACTCTGGAGCTTCCTTACTTTTGCCGGAGATTGTTGAGGTCCTCCAGCAGGTTGTCTCTCTCGATCTCCAGACGGGCCTTGGAGTTGGTGAGCTGGTCGACCTGGTGGCGGAGCTCCCTCACCTCCTCCTGGTAGATGTCGGCCAACTTGGTGGGCTCCTTGTCTCGGATTTGGTTGAGCTCGGCCACCAGGACTTTGTTCTGCTGCTCCAGGAACCGGACCTTCTCTATGTAGCTGGCAAAGCGGTCGTTCAGCTCCATCATCTCCACCTTCTCGTTGGTGCGGGTCTCCTTGAATTCGGTGTTGAGGGCATCGGCCAGGGAAAAATCCACCTTGTCCGGGGAGAACTTGGGGCCAGCACGGAAGCTGAGGCTGGAGGTCTTCAGCTTCGTGACGGAGAGCCGAGTGCCGGCACCTGAAGACAGGTACCTGCGCCCTGGCGAGAACCTCAAGGCGTGGTGGATGGAGGAAGTCTGCGCGCCGAAACGCCTTCCGTAGGATGAGAGCCGTTGCCCTTCCATGGTCAGGCTTCTCCTCCAGGCTCTGCAAACTCAGACAGATTTTGTTCTGTGTGCTGCAAGGGGTTTTATACAAGAGGGTTAGCCATCGCCAGACCATATGCGTGTGAAAGGCTGGAGGAGGGAGGGGGAATGGGGTTCACGCCAGGCCTTAACATCTCACATCTCCCATGCCAAGTGCCCTGTGCCCTGGCAAAGCAACAAAAGAAAGCCATTGGGCAGAAGCTTTGAGCGTTCTTGATGGGAGAAGAGAGCAAATGCTCTCGGACGAGCTGCGAGGTCAGAGTCCTTGCCCACCTATGATGGCCACAATCTCCCTACAACAGCAGTGACATGACAACACACGGCAGGCAGCCGTGAGATTGCTAAAGACGAAAAAAGAAACAGCCGGGGAAACATCTCATTTGCCCCAGAATCACAGGCAAGAGCATGACAAAAACACAGCAGCGAAACCAGATTGCCAAAGCGGTTCATGAAAATGCAAAACCTACTTTTGTCCAGAGAGCTCATTCACACAGCAAATGTCACTCCTTTGCATGCTGTTCTGTATGACCAAAACAACCAGGCGTATGACACAAAATGCTTAGATCTAGAGAGTCTCCCAGGCCTCAAGTCTGCCAGTGATGTAAATTCTGTACGCCAATGCCTGGCAGACGGTAGATCCAGGATTTCAGGAGATTTGTAGTAGCTCATAAAGCATTCATGATTCCCAGCTGTTTCACAATAGCAACTTGTTGATATTGCAAATGTTGAAATATTGTATGTGCAGGAATTGGCTGACGGTTAAGGATAAATAAGTTATGAAAAAACCCAAAAACTATTGTACTATAAGGTTAACTGTAAGAAATGGAATGTGAACTAGAAACAACTAAGAAAATAAAGGAGAAGCAAGAGGAATCTTTGGACACGCCAAGAACGGAGTGCCGGAAAGCAAATTTTGGGAAAGTTGAATTAAATTTGTCTTAATTTGTGGCTGATTTGGTAAAATTTGGAAAATCAATAAAAACGATTCACTAAATTAGGCTGCTGAAACAAAGCAAGGGGTAGGGAAAATCAGGCAATGAATGTGAGCTCAAAAACTCAAAACAAATACCTGTACTAAGATGTAGTCAGAGGTGCCTTCTTCCTTAATTCTAAGTATATCTGCACTCCTCTTTCCAAGCCACTATTTCGCACTTGGCTATTCCTGGTGGACACTGAGGTTCTAGGAAAAAGCAAAACAGGGCCGCTTCCAGACAACCTGTTTATTCAACATTCATTCTTATTTGTTCGCAGGGAGATTAGGCAATGGGCTGTACACCAAGTGCACATCAAGAGAAGTGCTGTATTTGGAATCAACTCTGCCTGAGAGCCATATCTCTTGATATACTGTAGACTCTCATCTCCCGATCCCAGATATAATAGTGTAAGCAGTGGTTACTCAGTGGTCAAGAAAAGGCACTCTGATGTGGTGGACTTGTAAGAAAGAGAGGGGATTAGGGGAAATGATATATGATGAGATAAAAAAGTGATAATACCCTCCCCCAAACTTGAAGCTATTCTCTTAGTAGCTATAGGGACAGAAGATCCAAAAAAAAGTCGATTCAGCTGTTTATGTATGTAAAGAACAGCAGCCAGAATTCTCTATGCACAAAAATGGAAGGAAGTTGTTGTTGTTTAGTCGTTTAGTCGTGTCCGACTCTTTGTGGCCCCATGGACCAGAGCACGCCAGGCACTTCTGTCCTCCACTGCCTCCCGCAGTTTGGTCAAACTCATGCTGGTAGCTTCAAGAACACTGTCCAGCCATCTCGTCCTCTGTCGTCCCCTTCGCCTTGTGCCCTCCATCTTTCCCAACATCAGGGTCTTTTCCAGGGAGTCTTCTCTTCTCATGAGGTGGCCAAAGTATTGGAGCCTCAGCTTCAGGATCTGTCCTTCCAGTGAGCACTCAGGGCTGATTTCCTTCAGAATGGAGAGGTCTGATCTTCTTGCAGTCCATGGGACTCTCAAGAGTCTCCTCCAGCACCATAATTCAAAAGCATCAATTCTTCGGCGATCAGCCTTCTTTATGGTCCAGCTCTCACTTCCATACATCACTACTGGGAAAACCATAGCTTTTACTATACGGACCTTTGTTGGGAAGGAAGAAGTAGCTACCAGCAAAGAAGAATGGATAAATAAAGCGATGGATTATGCAGAATTTGCAGCTAAAATAAGAGAACCCAATGATGATTGTTTGGGTTAATGAAGAATGGAAGCCTTTTTCGGACTGTATAAAGAAATACTATAGTATGATGAATTCGCAGGCAGGATTTGAACTATGAACAGCAGAAGGAATTAGAGATTACCATATTGTTATTATGGGATAAGAGAGAGAGGATAGGGTGCAGCAAGGGGCAGAAATAAAAAACACCATGGAGAACGGGGTAGGAAGTTGACAAAGCAAAAGAAAAAAATATATTATGTATTGGAGTGTATATGTGAATTTTTTTTGAAAATTTAAGAAAAATTTAACTGGAAAAAGAAAAGGCACTTTACATATGCTCAAGGGAAAGGTAAAAAAAAGAGATAAGGGTGCCCCTGTGCTTGTGCAGAGTGTCTTTCCCACTGAGTAACTTTCTGCAGCTAGCTCTCAAAGTGTCTGGACGGAAAGGGCTTCCATGGCAGAAAGTATTATCTTCCACTTGGTGTTTCAGCATCTTTTGAGACATGAAGCATAGCACACAGCTGCCTTTTCCTCGGTAATCTGTTGCCTGTTCTTACCAAAAGCGCCCAAATGACAGATCTTTGATTCATCTCAGAGGCAGGTTGAGTCAGGCAGCTGAGACGCTAATTAAGAAAGATTTCAATTAAATGTCTCTTCAAAGCCCCTGACTGGCTTTCCACTCCAGTGGTTCTTTAAAGACAGCAAATTCCAAAAACTCTTTCCCGCAAACTTCTGGGTTTCTTTTCAGCTTGACGCGTCAGCAGGAAATGCATTTAGGGCTGTTTAGAGGAGACAAGGCTGGAGGAGATTTGGGGGGGGGGGAGGAGAGGCAGAGATGATGGGTTTAAACAGTTTTAAAAACAGAGGGGAGCAGAGCAGCTAACACTTGCCTGAAAGCTGCACCCCCTCACTTAGCTGCCCTGCATGCTAAGCCCAAAGGTGCAAGGGTCTGGTTGCCAAGGAGCACTCTGCACATGTTCAGAGGCACTGCCTGCTTCACAGAAATCAGGTGAAGCTCGGGACAAATGTCATCCTAACTAGTTATTTGAAGAACCAAGGTTCTCTGTGGCAGGTTCCCAGCTCGGAAAGGAGAATTTTGAACTTTAGAGGTTTGCATGTAGATGGAGATCTGGAAGAAGGGCAGAGGGTGATTAAAGCAGACTCCTAGATTCCTGGCTCAGAGAGGGCTGCAGAGTGGAGTGGTTAAAGCATCTCCCCCCCGCCCCGCCCCCCAATTATCTGCACTTAAGATGTAGGACAGTTTGATGTTGTGTCTCAGAGCTGAGTGTCAGTCTTTGCTTCTAAGCTGACAGAACTCTTTAAGGCTCTGATGGGCAAAGTAGAGCAACAAAATACGACTCTCTTTTGTCAAGAATTCCCCCTCCTAATTCCCGGAAACCTCCAGCCTCTGTGACCAAAAACATTTACCGTATTTTTTGCTCCACAAGACACACTTTTTCCCTCCTAAAAAGTAAGGGGACGCTAGAAATAAAGGAGGCTGCCTGGGAGGGGGGAGGTAAAGACAGCGAAGTTGCAAGCAGAGGGCACAGGAATACTAAAAATAAGCAATGAGGAGAGAAATTAGAAGAAAAGGAGGAGCAAAAAACTGCTTCAGCTAAGGAAAAGACACTAAGTCAAACAAGTGGGAAGGGGGTGTTGAAAGATAGCAGCTGATCGGCAAGCGAACAGGAGGGAGATAAGGGACGCTAAAGATAAAGAAGGCTGCCTGGGAGGCGGGAGGTAAAAGCCCATGGATCCTCGGGATTTTTGCATTGGGTGACCCCAAATTCACAATCAGATCACATAGCATGCCCATGGCTACGGCCTGCACCCAAAAAATCACGCACCCACTGTTGTGTGGGGCTGCAATGGCGCAAAGCACAGATCCACATGGATCCTCAGGATTTTTGCATTGGGCTACCCCAAACTCACCGTCAAATCACAAATCATGTCTGTGGCCATAGCATGAACCACAAAAACCATACATCCACTGTTTCATTCAGAAGATTTTTTTAATTCTTGTTTTCCTCCTCTAAAAACTAGGTGCGTCTTATTGTCAGCTGCATCTTATGGAGCGAAAAATACGGTACTTGTGCAAGGGCATGGGTGCAGCCAAGCGGGTGGGGTGGGGTGGGCAGTCCCCCCTCCCCACATCAAGTAAAACAAGAGAAATGTTTAACTAACCGACCAATCACATCAGTTCTGCCCCTCCTAACATAAGTCCCGCCACCCCTAACAAAACCCCTGGCTACACCCATGTGCAAGGCAGGGAACCTTTGTACAGGGGAGTAGTGGGGGGAGGCAATGTGGCTTTTTCTCCTTGGGCTCCTTAGGATGCTTATCATTGAGGGAGGATATTAACAAACAGAATAGTACAGTGGTGCCTCGCAAGACGAAAAGAATCCGTTCCGCTATTCTCTTCGTCTAGCGGTTTTTTCGTCTTGCGAAGCAACCCCATTAGCGGCTAAGCGGATTAGCGCTATTAGCGGTTTAGTGGCTTAAAAAAAGGGGGGGGGAAGCGGGGAAAAAATGGCAAGACTCGCAAGACGTTTTTGTCTTGCGAAGCAAGCCCATAGGGAAATTTGTTTTGCAAAGCACCTCCAAAACGGAAAACCTTTTCGTCTAGCGGGTTTTCCGCCTTGCGAGGCATTCGTCTTGCGGGGCACCACTTTAAATTGTTTTTATATGCAATAACGGCAGCAAGAATGTTACTGGCACAGAAATGGAAACAAGAAGAATTACCGACGAAAGAAGAATGGCAGACGAAATTAACGGACTATGTAGAATTAGATAAGATGACAGGAAGGATTGAAAACCTGCGGGACCAGAGATTCTCAGAGGACTGGAGTAAATATTTGAATTATCTGAAAAGCAATTGTAACAAACAGATCACGCTGCAAGAAGTTTTGTAAGGAGGATTATGTGAAATAGAGATTACTAACTCAAACAGAGATTACAAACTCACGTTTCTCACAGAAAAGCTTAAGATACACGTTGATCTAACCACACTTAGTTGTTATCTCTGAGAAATGTAGAAAATAACAGGATATATTTATACGAATTCTTCAAACTTACACGACCCCTTAAAAATTAGCTGATGAAGGTGAATACATCGAAACAGGCCCCGTCCTAGTTTCTGATCCATAATTGACTTCTGACTTCTGCTCAATGATTGAAACTAAGACCTTCACTTCGAATCTGACTACAGTATGGACTAACATGAACTTATCTCTACTCATAAACTCTTATCTCTAATTCTGTAATGAATTATTGTGTTATGCATATCCTTATGAGTTTGAGTTTGTAATCTGTGTTTGAATTTGTAATCTCTATTTGAGTTTGTAATCCTTGTCAGAATACATACTTTTGAATGGATTAATTTTTCCTACAATTGACTATTGATTTGCGAGTAGATACGACTCCCACTACTGAAACTTAGATTGGCCTGAGTTCTTGGTGTGCTTTTTTCTTGGTATATTTAATAACAAGAACTCCAACTTATTTAACGATAGCCTCGCTGCCATGGCATCTCAACTGAGGACAGGCCTTGGGCACACCCCAGACGCCATTGCAGTCGCACAGGGCAGGGGGAGCATTCGTAGTTGCCAGGCCAGCCGCCTCCAAACCTTTATTTTTTTTATGGCCTCGCCTGCCACACCTCTGGCACACAGCCAGGTTCCCAGCCCCCTAACCCCTCGCTTGGCCTCCCCTCCCCTGGCGAAAGCAGCCTCTGTTGACCAAGCCCTGCGCGTCCCTCTGGAGCCGGGAGCCGTCATCCCCACAAAGGGGCCTTATTAATGGGCCCGAGGCCACGCCGCCAGCCCCTGGCCGAGAACACAAGGGGCTCTGTGCTCTGGCCGCTGTCTCAAGGTGTCCCATTTTCATGCTCGTTGTGGCAAGATTGATACCCCCCGCCGGCTCTGCCGCGAGGAGTGCGGTCCGCTGCAGGAACACGCAGTCCCTGAAAGCCCCGGCCTGGGAAGGGGTTGGGTACACAAAAGAAAAGAAAAGTGAACGAGGGGGGAAAAAGCCATCGTTTCAAAGTGGCCTTGGAGGGTTCTTCTGAGAAGCGGAGCAGGCCCAAGGCTTTCTGACCCCTCTCCCACAAGGGGTGCGTGACCCAGCAAGGGATTCCAAGGGGGTACACCGGGGATCGTGGCCCGGCCTCGTGGGTGACTGAGGGTTGCACTTCTAAGTGGAAGATGCTCTCTTGTATCCCTCAGCTGCCCTGATAAAACTGGGATATCTGGCTTTTTTACATGGCGCCCCAAAATGTGTGTTTTGGGGGGCACCGTGCTCTCATACAAGCTCCGAAGAAAGCACATCTCTCATCTGGTGGGTTTAAAAAAATTAATTACTCCTTGGGAAAATTCCAGAATGGCCAAGTCACTAATATTATTATTATTATTATTTTATTTGTATCCCGCCCTCCCCGGCCAAGGCCAGGCTCAGAGAAGGAAGGCATCACACTGCCTGAGAGATCCCTGCCCCTCCTGCTTG